GTTCCCCTGTTTCGCTCTCCCGACCTCGCCCCCTTTCCCGTCGTCGTCGCCTCTGCCGCCCAGGCGTGGCGGCCCCCGCTGACCAGGAAGACGACGACGTGGAGGGCCGACCAGGACGACGACAGCAAAGTACAGCGGTTCCCGGCATCCTCATCCTCCTCCTCATCATCATCCTCCTCCTCCTCCTCCTCCTCCTCCTCCTCCTCCTCATCATCATCATCATCATCATCATCATCATCATTAGCATCATCATCAGCAGCATCTTCATCCTCCTCTTTATCCTCCTCCTCCTCCTCCTCCTCCTCCTCCTCCTCCTCCTCCTCCTCATCCTCATCCTCCTGCTCCGCCTCCTCCCCCTTCTCCTCCTCTTCATCCTCCTCTTTGTCCTCCTCCTCCTCCTCCTCCTCCTCCGCCGCCGCCGCCGCCGCCGCCGACCGACGAGAACAAGGACGACGACGACGGCGACGACGACGATGACGACGGCGACGGCGGCGGCGGCGACGGCGACGGAGACGGCGACGGCGACTGCGACGGCGACGACGACGACGACGGCAATGGGGCACGGATGTCGCTGGCAGGGTTGGCGTCGTGTAAAGAATTGGGCCCCCTCAAACTGGGCCCCCCATCTGGGGGCCGTAGACACATGAAGACACTTGGCCCGCGCGCACGCGCCAGGCGCATATTGCCCCACCCCCCCTTCGCACGCTATTTTTACGTGTGAAGAATCCGCCGACTAGAAATCAGGTCCCCCGCCGGGAGAACGTGGACACGTCAAAACACATACCCCACTCGCACGCGCCACGCGCATGGTGGGGACCCCTCTCCGCGCACGTATCGCAGCTGCACATGCCAAAAACTCCGCCGACTAGAAGCTGGATCCCCTCCTGGGGGCCGTAGACATTTGAGAACAAGCCCCCCGCGCGAACGCGCCAAGCGCATGTTGCGCCCCCCTTTCCGCGCACACGCACTTACATGTAAAGAATCAACCCGTTGACTAGACAGTGGTTCCTCCCTTGGGGGCCGTAGACACGTGAAAACACGTGGCCCGCTCGCGCGCCAGGCGCATGTTGGGCCCACCCCAATCCGCGCAAGTACTGTTACGTGTGTAAAACCCGCCGACTACAAATTGGCCCCCTTTTTCAGGGGGCCGCGAACACATGAGAACACGCACGCGCCCGGCTCACGTTGGGCCCCCCACATCCGCGCACGCGATGTTCCCCATATCCTGGGTGGGGGTCGCGTTTTCTCTGGACCCCCTGCGCAGACCTCACCCCATACCCCCTTGTCTGCACCACCACACCATCATCACCGTCACCATCAACATCGCATCGTCGTCATCATCTCCATCGTCATCATCATCATCATCGTCATAATCGCCATCATCGCACTCACATGCACCTTCATCGATCTTCCACCATCACACCATCATCACCACCACGACCACCATCATCATGACACACACACACACGAAATCACTCATACACATTCACACGAGCACCAGCACAATCATCATCTCATTCGTACCCACGCAACCATGAAGACTCTCATTCACACTCGCACAGTGACAGACGCATATTGGGGAAGTCTGGAGCAAGAGCCTCGTTTGTTTGGACGGTGAAACTTTTCAAGCGGGAGCCACCTCCCCATGGGGCCGCCATCTCTCGCCGGCGGGCCAACCATATCCTGCAACTGTCGTCAGTCTCGGGCGCCTGAGGCGTGGATTTGGAGAATCTCGAGCGGGAGCCTCGTCAGTGAGTTAATTGTCAGGAATCTCATGCGGGAGCCTCCGACGTATGGGGCCGCCAGATCACGCTAGTGATCCGAACGGACCTTCGACATCCCGTGACTTTCGTCATATTTGGGCTCCTGAAGCGTGGATATGGAAAAATCTCGAACAAGGCCTCATCTGTAATTGAACCGTAAGGAAGTCTAAAGCGGGGGTCCCCTCCCTATGGGGCGCGGGCCATCCATATCCTGTATCTGTCATCAATTGGAGGCTCCTGAAGCGTCGGTCTTGGCGAGGTCTCGAGAGGGAGTTCCGTCTGCGCGCGAACATCGAGAAGTCTCGAGCGAGAGCCCCCTCTGCATGGGACCGCCCTTTCCCGGCCCGCGTCCGCCCGCCACGCGGGCGCCTGATCCACCTGCGCCTGGGCCTCCTCAGCCACCTCCAGCCTCGCATCCTCCCTCTGGGGCTTCGCCGTCTGTGCGCGATGAGCTCCATCCCAATACGCATTCGCATCAAGGGCCTGGCGCCCCCAGCGGGCCAAGATCACTGTCTGGCAGCAGCCGGCGGGGCTGCCCAACTCGAGGGCGCCCAGCAGGTCGAGCAGGGTTCGCCAGACGCCGTGGGCGCGAGGGCCGCGAACAAGCAGTCGCCCTCGCGGGGCTGGTTCTCATTGCAGACTCGCACCACGTCCTTGACCTCCCGGTCGAGCACCTCTCACCACCTCGAGTTGAGCTCCTCCCAGGCATCTTGCACGCGCTTGCTCGTGCACTTCCTCGGCCCCTCCTCGCGTGGCCTGAAGAGGACATCCGAGCCCTCCGACCTCATCCCGACGCTCCTCGCCACGCACCAAGCACGCCACCCAGACGCCGTTGTAGGCCTGCTTGGCCCACTCTGAGTATGTCCGTCGGGAGCTTGGGTCGCGCCTCGATCTTCAGCTCCACGGGCGGAACAGAGTCGCCGAACAGCTCCTCCGGGCACGCGACCCGGCCCGCCGCCCCCAGCCCCAGCTCGCCACGGTGATCACCGGCTCTCCTCTCCACGAGCCCGTGGCCTGGCCGCGGGCAGTCCGGTAGTTCACCAACATGGGCTACTCGCGGTGCTCAAAGGGGGCGGCTGAGTGCTCTGCCTGGCAGAGGAGAGCCTTCACGAGCGCGCGCCCCCAAATCGTCGGGGCAAACCGCCACCTTGAGCCCGCGGCAGCCCTGTCGGCCAAGACCCTCAAACTATCCTCCTTGGTGATCGACTTGAGGGCGCCCACGCGCCCCGCATTCTTGTCCTCCCCACGCGTATTCCGAACGCCCGAGCTGCGAGCGACGTCGGCCAACAAGCGGGCGGACGCGTCGCCGCCGAGGGCAGAAGGGGCCAGGCCCGTCACCCAGGGCGCCCGACCTCCATGGAATCTTCACAGCCGACCTTTCGCCGCCCTCGCCTTCGCAGCTCTTCATCCTCCTGTCCAGCAGATAAGCGGCGGGGCGGGGCGGCCAATCCCTGGCGGCCCCGCCAACGGCGCTGGCGAACGCGCTGAGAACCTGGCGGCACGGCTGCGACTGCGCCCCGGCGGCCCCCGCCTCCCCTGCTCAGGCGAAAGGCGCCGAGCGGCACCTTCCGCCACCAACACTGCCGACTGCCCCGCCCACCCTCCCGAGAGCTGGAGCCACTCCGCGACGTCGAAGGAACGGCCGCCGGCCGCGAGGCTCTTCAAGCACTCGATGCCGAAGGCGGTGGGCCCGCGACGCCTCCGAGCATCGGATGCCCCGCTCCTCGCCAACAGACCCAGCTCCGCCCTCGAGGGATCGGCGCGGGGCCCCACGATGGCACCTCCTGGCACTCCGCGGGCTCGTTCTCTTCGAACCTCACCTCGCGCGCGGGTCCCTTCTCGTCCGTGAGCGCCGAGGCCGCTGACGTCCACCATGCTCCTCAGACAGCGGTAAAGCCTGACTCGGCCTGGGTGTCAACGCCCTCGGCGCCTCCTCGCTCCTCCTCATTGGACCCTGACGTTTTTCTGGCAATCCCTGGACCGACGCGCGGGGCACGTCCGACGGGGGCGCCACGCCACCGTTGTCGCGATAAGGGCAACGCGACACTCCGTCGCCAAGAACTCGCCCCAGGTACACGCAACCGACGCGGGCGCACTTCTTGGCCCCCTGCGCCGGGCGAACCAACCTCCCCCGTGCGCCTCACCTCTCTCGACCTCCAGCAACACCCCGCACCCTCCTCACTGCCGCCTGCCTGCGGAAGCGCCCGTGCAGCACCTCTGGCCCAACTGCGGAGGATGGTGGCCGCCACGAGCCCGACGATCCTGGGCACGAGCGCGACCATGCGGTGCGCCCCGCTGGCCATCTCCACCCGCGCCGCGCTGGGCACCGCCTCCTCGCGGCCGTGAGGCAGCGCTGCGCCGCCCGCCGCTGGCGCGGGGGCTCCGCCGCGCCACCGCAACGTCGGGCCGCGCGGCTCCCCGTCGGCCGCCCCGCGGGGCCCGCCGCGGGCGCCGGGGGGCCTCCGAGGCCCCGGGTGCATGTTGAGCCCACAGGGGCCGTAGCCAGAGAGGAGGAGGAGGAGGAGGAGGAGGAGGAGGAGGAGGGGAGGAGGGAGGAGGAGGAGGAGGAGGAGGAGGAGGCGGAGAAGCGAGGAGGGCGGCCTCAGCCCGTCCCAGCCACGTCTAGCCTTGCCTTCTGCTTCGCCCGAGCTCTGCTTCGCCTCCGCGGGACCCCCCCAAGCAGCCCTCGGAAGCGGCGGCTGTTTCGCGATTCGCACTGCGCGCCTCCTCCTCCTCCTTCTCCCCTCCTCCTCCTCCTCCTCTCTCTTCCTCCCCCTCCTCTCCTCCTCCTCCTCCTCCTCCTCCTCCTCCTCCTCCTCCTCCTCCTCCTCCTCCTCCTCTCCTGCTCCTGCTCCTGCCCCTCCTCCTCCTCCTCCTCCTCCTCCTCCTCCTCCTCGGATGGCGAGGTCGAATCGGAGTCCGCGCAGGGCGTCACTGGGCTGGACCTCCCAGCAGCCCTCGCAAGTGGCAACAGCTTCGCAGTTCGCAGCCCCCCAGGGATGGCAAGGTCGAATCTGAGTTTGCGGTAAGACGTCGCTGTGCCGGACCCCCCAGCAGCCCTCGAAAGTGGCGACAGCTTCGCAGACCGCAGCCCCCCAGGTGCGAGTCTAATCTGAGTCTTCCACGGTGCGTCACTGTGCTGGACCCCAGCACCCCTCGAAAGTGGCGACAGTTTAGCAAAACGCGGCCCCCCAGGGATGGCGAGGTAAGTGACGTAGGGCGGCGAGATAGTCAGACCAGCAGACAAGTACACGCAAGGTAGAGAGCAGGAGGAGAAGGCAGAAGGAGAGCGGGGCGGGAAGGTGGAGACCGCAGCGCTCTATTCAAAAGGAGAACCCAGGGCGGGAGGACTGGGAAAAAGGAGCACGAGGGTGCTCTCGACTGGTCGAGACAGATAATTCCTCGGGCCAGTCATCATGATCGCAGCGACGACTTATCACCATGACTTTAAATACTTGGTGATCAAAGCGCACATGCTACCTGCACGCTGGTCGAAACATTGCCTTTTTTTCCGAACAACCAGCCACACAATCAACTGCCACGTCACAGAGGATCGCCGACGTATGTCGGACAATCAAAGCGCCGTGGCTACAAGCTTTCGAAATGCGGGGGAGACGGCGGATCAGTGAGGCAAGCGTTTAGCAACTCGCTGAACCACTCAAGTCTCACCGAGGCGGCTCCCAACGCGTCTCACCGGTTGCGCGGTTGAAGTAGTACGGCTTGCCGCTCGCAGGGTCGTTGGCCTCCGAGGGAATGCACGAAGGCACGTCGGAGTCTGACCCCCCCCCGTTCCCTTAAGTCGGGCCTGTCCCCCTACAGGGGGATTTTCGACGAACCATTAAAAATACCCCCAAAATAATCAAAAATCATCAAAAAAAAAATAGTCTGGGGACTATTTTTTGGATCTGTTTTGACCTTCTGGGGAGTATTTTGGGGGTCATTTTCTTATCTTTCGTCGAGAATCCCCCTGTAGGGAGACACGCCCGACATAACCCTTCCCCCCTCCCCCTATCCTTTTCCCCCCCCCCTCCCAGCGACCCCTGGGCGGTGGCACGCCGGAGCGCCGTCCTGCACGGGGCGACGCCCGATCGTGCCGCCGCCCAGGGGCCTGCCCACCCCGGCGGAGATTCTCGGTGGCGGGAGGTCGCTGTCTCTCACTGTCACCCTCCTCCCCCACCTCACCCCCCTCCAGGAGAGAGAGAGAGAGAGACAGAGAGAGCCAGACAGAGAACGCGACAGAGAGAGAGAGAGAAACAAAAAAAAAAAAGAAAAACAAAAAACAAACAAACAAACAAACAAACAAACAAAAACGAGAGAGGCCCTGAGATCCGACGTCTCGAAAAAAGTGCGACCTCGTGAAAAATCACGACTGGAAACCCGGGCCCCGACTTTCTGCGCCACTATGTCGAAGAGAGAGGGAGAGAGAGAGAGAGAGAGAGAACCAACAAAAAAAAATCGAGAGAGAGAGACCCTGAGATCCGACGTCTCGAGCAATGTGCAGCATCGTGAAAAGCCACGACTGGAAGCCTGGACCCCAACTTTCTGCGCCGCCTCGTCGACCCGGAGCAATGTTTGGTGAGGGCCTCGGGGCCCGCGACCGGGCGACGGCTCCCAGCTGGAACAATAAAAAATGCGACGCCAGGATCTCGGGGAAGAGTCACATATGATTGGCCCGTTTTCCACCACCACCACAAGTTGGAGGGGGAGGGGTTCTTCCTCCTCCTCCTCCTCCTCCTCCTCGTCCTCCTCCTCCTCGTGCTCCACCTCCTCCCCCCCTCAAGCTCATGGTGGTGGCGGTGGACACTTAGGCCCATCAACGTAGAGAGAGAGAGAGAAAAAAAAAACAAAAAAAAAAAAAAAAAAAAAACGAGGAACGGCATAGGCATTAAACGTCAACTTTGGGAGCTCCGCGCAGACTTCCTGCATCGGCGCCGGACACCCTCCCCCGGCGCGCGGAGTGCGCCAGGGACGGCGCCAGAGGCGCCGCCAGGGCGGGGCCCCAGCGCCGATCCCAGAAAAATCCGCGCGGAACTCCGAGAGTTCATGCCCGTGCGGCTTTTTTATTTTCCTCGAAGGCGGAGGGCGCGACGGAGAGTCGTAGACAGCCCGGGGTCTCATCTCTGGGCTGAGGTCGGGCCTGTCCCTCTACAGGGGGGTTTGAGGCGAAATACTTAAAATAGTCGAAGCAAATCTCCAGAAATATTCAAAAATAGTAGAAAAAGCGTCCCCAGACTATTTCTTTACTAGTTTTGAAGATTCCTCCTGTGGAGGGAC